TTAATAATAAATCATATAATAATGCAAAACTAAATTAGAAAAGTAAAGAAAAAAAAAAAGAAAAAAAACCAATTTTAAGTCAAAACTATTTATATTCTTTTAATTCTAAAATTATTATATTTATTAACTATGCATATTGACCAAAATTGCTTATTTTTATACATCTATCTATTTATTATTACTGAAAAAGTTTTTATATATAAGTAAAAAAAAACTTGACTAGTTCTTTTTATTTTTATTATTTTATTAATTAATTAATTAATTATTATTTATTTTTTATTTATTAATTAATTTTATTTTTAATTTTGATTTTTAGTTTTTATTTTTATTTTTATATTGTAATTTTTTTTTTTGATTGTTGTCATATCTTTAAAAGATTTCTTATTGATACTATTACAAAAGGATTATTAGTGATGCAGATGATAGTAGATATTATTTGAAATCCATTTTTGATAAGAGTTACTTTGATTTTATCTTTAATAAATAATGCTTTGTATTTATTTGCAGTTAAATCAATAATGTCAATAATATATTTTTGTACTTCTTTAAGAATTATAAATTTATAGATAGAGTTTTCAGATGTATCTGTCTAGCTATCTAGACAAATTATAATATCAGTAAAGATGGACATGACAAACAGCTTGTCTTGAAGACAATTAGAAAACATTTCTGTTAAGATATATCCTTGTATTATACTTTTAGAAAGTAGTTAATAACTTGAAACTAAGTCTTAGAGAAAGTCTTAAAAATAAGAGTTTTTAACAATGTTAAAAGAAAGATTGTCATAGATAATAGTATACAAAAGCTTTAGATGAAGTTTTTCAGATTAAGTATGAAGCATAGGTCTGACATACTAATTCAAAATATTCTTTTGCTTTGCAGATTTTACTATTAAGCTTTTTTGGTTATTTTTATTTTTTTCAATTATTATAACTTCTTAAATATGTTTAACTTGCTTGTAAATAAAAATTGCTTGCTTATTAACTTCTTTAAGATAGCTAATTTTATCCTTAATTAATTAGTTATTGCACTTGTAACATGCTAATAAAGCTTATCAGATTTATTATCAAGCTTAGATAAACAATACTTATACTTGGCAGTATACCTATTATCAGATTTTTTATCTTTAGAACACCAAAAACCAGTTCATTAACAGCCTTGGCTGGGGAGTATATTAACAAAACCTGAAGAGGATTGCATGTTGTGTGTCTAATTTACTGATAAGAAAGCAATATTTTCAAAATTTTTTTAAATTTATTATTTTATTAATGTTATTTATATTGGAAATTCTTATTATTATACAGTTTAATTATTAAATGCTTTAATATGTTTAATTATCTTATTCTATCTAAATATTGTTTATAAACTTATTGTTAATAATTATTGAATTTCTATAGATACAGAATTATTGAAAGAAACACAATAACAATAATTATATATATATTTCTTACAGATAAGTTTTATTTTTTATTTTATTTTAGATGTTAGAGAATAAGTATATGTAAGTATTTAGTTTTGATAAACAACTTCATAAATAATGTTATTATATTTATATATTTTCCAAATACAATATTATTAGTATCTGATATTAATAAAAATATTGTGTTCACTTTGAGGCATCAATTATTATTTTTAATGATTACTGTATTTATGTAAAATAATACCTATAGGTGTTATTTTTAGGCATAAAAATATAATAATTAATTTAGCTGAAGATTTTTAATAATAATTATAATTATATTTAGCTTCAAACTTGTGTTCTAAAATAACACCTATGGGCATTATTTAGCTCTAATATAGTATCTGTTGTTCTTAAGAAAAAAAAAAGATAATTCTAAATAAAATTTATCTTTATTTTTTTTTCTTTCTTAAATGTTATTTGGATTAACTAATGTATTACTCTTAATTTATTAAGAATTATTATTAAATTTATATACAAGAGTTTATTTAATAGGCTAGTACTACTCAAGATTTTATTAATGAAATCATAATGCATTATTAGTAAGTTCACTAATATTGTACAATACTAGGTTAGGATGGAGTTAATACTTTATTTTGTTTTTATATCTAAATAAATTCAAATATAAAATAAATCCAGATTTACAGTTGTTTTTATAAATTCTGTAATATCTGACAAAAATTCAACTAATCAAATATCTGCTAGTTCGATAAATTTTTGATTTTCAGTAATAAATTTCTAATTTGGATATGATTATAGCAATGAATTAAAACTTATCAAATTGGCAAATATTTAGTCAGTCAATTTTTTGCCAGATGTTTCAGAATTTATAAAACAGTAGTAATTTATTATGTTTTACTATAATTTTTTAACAAAATATTAATCTGGATATATATATATCTAGATTGAAGTTATTAACTTTAGTCTAGAATATGTGTAATATTACTGTATATTAGTTAGAGTATATATCTTTTAATTGCTTATAATGAATAATAGTCTATATGATATTTAGTGAAAACTTTTTTAGATTTATTTATTGTAGTTAGTGATTAGAAATAAAATAACAGTGCTTGTTATAAAACTGAAGCTATATATATTAGATTCTTATTTTAAAAAACAGTAAATATTGTAGTATTTATTATCATCAAAATAATTTAATAAAAGCTTAATTGGTAAATATATACTATGTTAAGTAATATATTTTTGTAAATTTATTTTAATATGCATGATAAAAGTATTTGTTCTTTGCTTTTATAAAAATAATTATATGAAAACTAGATATTAGCTAGATTCTTAAGAATAAGGCTTTAGAATTTTTTTATTTTATTACAACTTAATAATAAAATAATAAATGCTAAAATAGCAAAATAGTATTAATAATTTTTAGTCAATGATTTGATTGCATATCACATAATTAGGGCATATCTATTAGCCTTTTAGCATGCTTATAGGCATGCCTCAGAAGCAGTTCAAAAGACATGTCTGTGCTTCTGTGCCTTAAACCTTAATCATAATGCATCTATTATATTTTAGTATAAGTATATTAGCATATAACAGTTTTTTTTAGTTGAATTACATAACTTTGTATAATATATATAACTTTATATAATACAATATATAAGCTTGTATAATAACACGATATATATCTGTTATATAAATTATATATATAAATTATATATATTAATTATTTGTATTATATAAGGATGTACTATAATGCAGATGTACTATTTTAAAAATCCCTTAAAATAAATACTTGTTTTTTAAAATTTTACTAATAATACATTTAACTAATAATTGCATTATAACTACAGAAAGCAATCATAAAAAAAATATATAACTAATTACTTATATAACTTTAGTTATTGTTTAATTTAAGTAGTTTAAAAATTTTATATTAATTATTATATCTAGAATCTGTTTATAAGTTCTTTATTTAAATATTTTAGTTTTTATATTTATGCATTCACCTATATCTACTAAATTGCTTAAGTTATTACTAATATAAATAAAGCAATTACTTATATAAAAGATCTTTAACTATATACTAAACTTTTCAGAATCTTTTATTTTTACAACTGAATTAATAATACTATAATTAAAACCAACATTTGCAATCAGAACTAATTATTAAATTATTAATTTTGTATAATTTATCTAAAATTCAGTACTTATTTCATAATATATTCCTATTACTTTAGTATTCAAGTTTTACCAAACACCTAATCTAAAAATCTGAAAAAATAAATATAACAATACCTTTGGTTTACATGTTTTTTAACATATAGTCTTTTTTTAAAAAAGATTCTAATAACCTAATTAGTTACAACAACTTTTTCTAAAAACCAACATTTTATTTAACTTTACAAGTTCTAATACAATTTTCCAAATCTAATCTTTACAATAACAATATCAAATATTTAAGTTACTTTTTTACTTAAATCTTTCAAATAAGCTTCTGTCTAATTTCTATAATTTATATAATCAAAAGAACTTATTATAGATTTATATCACCCAATACTAGTTTATATTTCATGCAACAGTATATTATACAAATGCTTATGACCTTTTAGTTATATTAGTGTAACACAAGTAACAGATATCTTATTTTAACCAATAATAAAAAACAGTTAATTATAATATAAAAAAAAATTTCAAAATTTTATTAACACTAAAATTTAAACTCTAAATCTGCCACTTGAAAAATGACAACATAATTACTTCACTATGTCACCATGCCTTTTATAAGTTTATTTTATTTTTATTTTTTGGTATTAAAACCTCTTATAAATTTATATATATTATATAATATATATATTATATATAATTTATAATACTTATAGTATTTTGTTAAACTTCATTAATTCCATTAACAAATTATTCTTAATGGAGCAATGGACCAATGCCAATGAAGATCTACTTCATTGGGCCCAATGGATAAATATGCCAACCCTGTATGCATATTTTTAAGCTAAAGGCCATGTATAATTTATTAATTTCTTCCAGGTTTTAAATCTGGTCAATCAAGTGCAACGAGAAAAATCACATTAATCTCAATTTCGCAAAACCAATAAAGATTTGAGGAAAATTAGTAAATTCGAAGCCATCTAATATGATATGCTTTGGTTAAGATTAACAGCTTTATAATGCTGATATAACTAAACATTTTCTTTTGTCCCATCAAGTCAGCCTTTTGACATAAATAAGTATCAATGGTTGAATACTTCAGTATTCCTCTATAAATCATAAGTATTCTATTATGCGTTAAATCCAAAATAACTATATTACGAATTCTGAATGATCTACAATTTTTATAATAAAATTATGATATAAAACACAAGCAAACTATGTTGAATTTATTAATTATAAGTCATGTATCTAAATTGGTTTAGTAATAATCAGTTAATATATTTTTTTTCATAAAAAATGAATATAAACGAATGAATAATAATGCTTTATACCTTGGAGTTGATGAGAATTTAGCGTAGGACTGTAAAATAATCGAGTTAATGACGAGTAATAGTGAACGAATTCAATATTAACTTTAATAGATAATAATATAAACCTTAATGACTTTATTAACAGCTTCCAAGAAATCTTTTTCAGTAGCAACCTATTCATATAAAGCCGTTTAGTCGTTAAACATGGTTCAAATAATTGATATATAACTTTTATAATGAAAGCCATAATTTTACCTTTCTTCTTGATCGAATTGCAAACATCCCCGCTTCAGTGCACACGCTACGTAGCTCAGCACCTTTGTTAGATACAAGGATTGATTATTATAAAAATGAATAATTAAAAAAAGTAATAAATATTATTTTATGTACCAGTACTATTTGGGCAAAGACGTGCAATCAACTCGTATCGAATATCACGTTCAACAGACATACTGATATAGCAGCACAGGGTTAGCAACTTCAAATAAAATAACTGATTGATCGAAGTTAATATACCTTTTGGCATGAATTTTCAAAATATGCGAACGACCCTATTATATACGGATAATAAATTTGTATGAGCCAAGCAGTTATTAAATAAATTATTCATTTATATTAACTTACCTCTAAATCTGGTAGAGAAAATTCGACTTTACGATCTAAACGACCTGGACGTAAAAGTGCTGGATCTAAAGTATCAGGTCTGTCGATGAAAAAATATAAAAAAAGTTAATATTTTATCGGATCATTATAATGTAATCATATTAATACCTGTTCGTAGCCATCAAAACCTTAATGTTTCCTCGTGGGTCAAAACCATCTAATTGATTAATCAATTCTAACATTGTCCTTTGAACCTCATTATCACCTCCGGCACCATCATCATAGCGTGCACCTATAAAAAAAAAAACCTTAAATATATATATATATATTTCTTTGTAGAGTATGTATGCATAACAGTACCTCCAATGGCGTCAATTTCATCGAAAAAAATGATACAAGCCTTTTTTGTACGTGCCATTTCAAATAATTCACGAACCATTCGTGCACCTTCACCAACATATCTTAAATAACAAAAAAATAGATTTAATAGATGAGGAAAAAAAATTTTCATAAGTAGTACACGCACTTCTGAACAAGTTCGGAACCGATAACGCGAATAAACGTGGCATCTGTACGATTAGCCACGGCACGAGCACAAAGTGTTTTCCCAGTACCAGGAGGACCATATAATAATACACCTTTTGGAGGATCAATACCTAAACTGACAAAGCGTTCGGGCTAAAAAACGAAAATGCCAAAAAAAAATATTTTTATTTCGGTTTTTTTTCTTGAAATACTCGAGAATAGAAATGTTGTTATTTTTACCTGAAGCAGTGGTAGTTCAACTACTTCTCTAAGTTTTTCAATTTGTTCTTTACAACCGCCAACATCGCTATAAGTGACATCTGGTTTTTCTTCAACTTGCATCATAGTCACAGATGGGTCAATTTTTGGAGGCAACGGAATTTGAATTTGATATTTATTGCGGTCAACACTAAATTGTTGGGAGATCAAAAAGATATTTGTATACGAAAAAGTATCAGTATTATACCTTTGCGATAGTGAACATGGATATACACATGGTGCAATCTTGAAAAAAAGAACTACGAGTTGAAAAGTTATTTAGATGTTAAAGAACTGATTATCATACCCGACACGCATTCCCTCTTCAATATCAGTTGGGGAAACCCGTTCTCCTAACGCGACGACAAATTTTGCAATTTGTTTTACATTGATAATGTATTTAGCATCTTCGCTTTCACCATCTTGAATTATTTTAGTGCATCGTGCTACCTGTAGATATTAAGGAATTGTCATCATCATTTACTGAAATCCTTACATCAAAGTCAATATGTTAACGAACTTGTAAAGGTTGTTCCTCTTGCATCCTCTGTTTGTCTGCAGGGATATCCCAAAGATTTGGCGGAGCAAGTCCAGTATCCGATTCTTTAACACCTATAAAAAAAAATTTTTAGGGAATAATTAATCTATTACTCTGAATGTACATAATAGATCAAGAGTAATCGAACTTTACCAATCTTTTCATTTATACGCTTTTGTATATCTTTTATATCTATGTCGATCTTTTTTAACTCTTTGGCATAAGGCCCTTGACCCTATGTGGAGGTAGTCCAAATTTGTTAAAACGTAGGTATAATTTAACATTAAAAGTGATATACTGCATGATCCTCACGTAAGTTTTAAGTAATGCAATGTCACCTTCGTCAAGAGCTGTTTCCCATATAAAAAACGTTAAACGCAGTAAATGTTAATTATGATTTCGCATTTTATTTAATTAAGATTACGTACCAACAATCTTTTCTTCTTCTTTTTCCTCGACAGGCTTATCATCTTTAGAGTAGTTAGTTAAAATGCAGCCCGAAATTGCCACGATTAAGAAAGATACTTACATTTTTCCCAATTTTCTTTCGGAGGCATGATATGAATTTGTAGGTATTGCAAAATCTAAAATGTATTAAAAAAAAAACCGTCGCGAGGTTTTCAACGTAAATGATATTACGTGTACTAGTAGTACGAATTACGTACAGCAAGAAATCCTGGACTGTAGATCCTTTCCGATCTGATTCCAGAGTCCAAATATTTACCAATCAGAATAATGAATTTGCTTTTTGCTATTGCCTTTATTATTTTTTTTTTTAATGTTAAGATGAGTACGTACAGTAGGCTCCAAAAGTATATGACGGTTACACAATAAAAACATAACAAAATTTTATGCAAAAAAAATAATAAATCATCAACGATATTAATAAGTTATATTGCGTAAATTAATACGTATAATATTACATATTAATGCATAATAAGTATACAGTAGGGCCTGCAAATTGCCTATTTTTAAGGCCCGGACCGGCCCACATTTAGGGGTAAAATTTTTTTTCTGGCCCGGCCCGGCCCGCATTTAGAGTTAATATTTTTTTCCGGCCCGGCCCGGTCCGGTCCAGCCCGCAAAAATTTCTTATATAATTTTACAAAATTTTAGGCCCATACTGGCCCGCAATTATAAAATTTTGCAAATTTTTTGACCTGGCCTGGCCTACAATTATAAAATTTTGCTTCAGGCCTAGGCTGTGAGACCCAATGCAGGTCTCTAGTATACAGTATATATCGATATCAATATATATTAAATATCAGTATCTATAATCATAATCATTATTATTAATAATTTGAATAATATAATTTGATATACTATTAATTAATTTGTAAAAATTGATAAATCTAGTTTGTCCCATTCTTCTAGAAGAGTTGTTTTTAAGGTTTTGTAAGTTCTTGGAGCTAATCTTTATTTCTGAATGTTTTCTTTTAATATTTTTCAACATTCTTGATTGGATTTAAATCTGATGATTATGTTAGTTATAGAAGATAGTTGATATTTTCATTACTTATTCATTCTCAAGTATATCATGTTATAAACATAGTCATGGTTAAATAAGAGTAAGAATAAAAATATTTATATATATTATTAATTTAATAATTAATATTATAATTAGTTTTTTATTTTTTTTCACATAAATTTTGTTATGATTTTTTATTATAATTTTTATTATAATTTTTTTTGTATAAAATTTTGTTAATTTTATTATATAACTATTATATATTTTTGGAGTCTACTATACATGTGATTCAGGATTATACAACTAATACAAAGACAATTATAAAAAAAAAATACAACTAATCACTTGTACAATTTTAGTTATTGTCCAACTTAACTAATTTGTTCAAAAGTTCTATACTAGTTATTATACTTAGAACCTATTTGTAAATTTTTTATTTAAACATTTGAGATCTTATATTTATTCTTATTTTACTAATAATTTTAGTTGATATCAGTAAAGATATGTTATAGTCACTAAGTTATATTTAATTTTGTATTAAAATTATTAAAACTTTTTATATTTTATATTTACAGTTGACTTGATATCATTTTGGCTTAAATAAGCATTTACAGTTAGAGTAATATATATTAAACAAAACTAAACAAATCTCAAACTTCTAAAAAATAATTAGGGTGTTTATTTTTTAACTTTAAGCAGTTATGCTAGTATTTTATTAAGATTCTTAAAATTATATACCTATACAATTATATAGAATTTTTCAATATCTAAGTCTAGTATCATTTGGCTATCCTAATAGTACCTAAGTGCAATTTGTCACATTATCTTAGTTAAAGATAAACTGCTTATCTAACTATCACAAGTTGAATAAAGACATATCGGCAGTAGCATAACTGAAGTAATATTAGAAAAATATCGAAATACTGATAGAAAAAATAAAGTTTAAGTCCAATTCATGAAATATCAAAATGCTGATATTAATATGAATTTGATTCAATAAATACTGATATTTTAAATAAAACTAGATAACAACCAGAATAATTTATAGATCATCAATAAAGTTAAAAAATAGCTAAAAACATATTAAAACAGCAAACACAGGAGTAATATCAGAAAAACATCATTAAATCAATAGGAAATATAAGATTTAAGTCTAATCAAAAGAATATTAGTATTTCTATATTAATATAGACTTGATTCTAAAAATACAGATATTGCAATAAAATTTACTAAAAACTATCAAGCTGTAGCAAATTTTAAAGTGATGAAGGTCGAGTGGAAGATTTTTTATTTAAAGGAAAATAAAATAAAAGAAAAGAAGAAATATAAAAATAAATAAAATAAAT